TCACGTCGAACCTGAACGAGTTGTCTAGCACTTTCCCTTGAAATGTGAGTTTGATTTTGGCAGTCTTTGCAAGATACAGAATCCGGACCTGCCGGAAAAGTAGGTTTAACACGGTATTTACGATACAAAACGAGGGTCGGTAGTTCATGGGGGGGGGCTACCATATATATATATATATATGTGTATATATATATATGTGCCCTAGACAAACGGAGCTCAGATATGTTTATCTTCATCATCATGTTGTTGTTAGATGATGAACTCCTTCTGACCTTCTGGTAGTGTCGGCATACTTCTCTCATTGCAACATGAGCCTATCGCACATACTTTGTGGTGAGTCTGGTAGGATACAGATTCATCGGCCTTCTTGTTCGGACATGGGCTTTGGCCGTCCCAGGCCTGACTAAACTCCAAAGCCCCCACGGAAAGCGAAGCCAAGGATTTTATGGTTTAGGGTTTAGGCTGTTGGGTTTGAAAGGGTGCGGGGATGAAACCCCACGCCTCAGAACCAAAGCCATAGTGCCTCCTATGCGAAGCTACACGATAGCCATACTGTAGGGGCCTAAGTAATTACCAATACTATTTTGGGGGTTCCTTATCATAATTGTAGTGTATTGGGCCCCGAAACCCTATTCTAATCATTAAGGCCCCTACGTTATCAGAAGTGCCAGTCGCAGACATTTCGCAGGCCCAGAGCGAAACAAACATCCAGGTGCAACGATGGCTTGGGCTGGAGCAAAAAGCATTGATACTGTGATGATATACATCCTGCATTACCTTGAGGACCCGAAACGGCCCTAAACTATGGGAATTAGATTATATCTCTGATTATGGATAATGCAGGATTTATATCATCAACCGTAGTGAGTAGTGTTTGTAGGTCCTGGAAAGGCAAAGCTTACAATCAGCACGGTACGACGAAGAAGAATCGACGAGTCGGTACTTTGTGCGTGTATTACCGAGGCCATCCTCATGGGATGCGCATTTGCGTGGATCTTGGCCGCGTCCCCAACATGAAAGGTCTGCAGTGTGTTTTGTAGGGCGTGGGTGGTGTAATATAGGGGCCTTAATACTTACCTATACTATTTTAGGGGTTGCTTAATATAAGTAAGCATCCTCTACCTATTCTAATTATGCAGGCTCCTATATCTTCCCTTAAACCGTGTCGACTCTAGATCCCTAAGCCCTATACCCAATTGACCCTAAACCCCACAGGCTGGACCAGAAACCCTAGGCCCTAATACCTTGAGGCCTAAACCCTCAACCCTAGCCACTATAGACCGTAAACCCACCCTAAGCCTTAGATCCTAAACCCTGACCCTAAAACCTTAAAGCCTAAATCCTAAATCCTAGGCCCCCAAAGACCCTCGAGGCATCAAGCCCCGGTCCGTCTCCTGCACAGCTCTCCTCTCCGCTCTCCTCGACAAGGCTCGTGGAGCTGCAGGGCCGAACATGTTTTCAGAAGGAGGGTTGAAGCCTTTGGTGCATATTAGTCCCTTCCCCCTAATATTAAACCCCCCCCCCTCGCCTAATATAAAAACTCAAATCTGCGGGTTTGGTTTTCATACTAGGGGGGTTTCCGGCGCATACGGGTATGACTGCGATTACCGCAATCAGTCTGTACCGAAGCGCTAAAGCCTGAAGCCCGAAACCAAATAGTCAGACACAACGACCGATTCCTGCGAAGCCGTTCCGGCTGTAGAGCGGACAGCCTGCCATGCCTTAAACCCTAAAGCCTCAAGCCATGAGCCCTTAACCCCTGACCGCTAAACCCTAAAGCTCTGGCCCTTTGGTTTAGTGCTACTGTAGTCTTGGCTCTATGAAAATTCGTACAATCCCTAGGCCCCCCTAATGTTTTTAATTAACTTTCAATTGTGGGCCCGAAGCCGCGGATTTCCGGGGGCCGGCAGCTTTTGTATTGGGGGGGGGTGTTTATAGTTAGGCGGAAGGGGTTATAGTTTATATTTGTCGTACATATTAATTATGGTTTGCGTATACATATATATATATATATACATACACACATATGTATGTATAATTCTATGACAGTGTATTTCAGTACATGATGATGTCTCCTTACAGAGCTTTAAGCATTTAGGGTGTGGAGAGGGTTTTGGGTCAGAGGTTTTAGGGTTCAGGGTTTCGGAAATCGCTACCCCAACTTCCAAACGGATGGAATTTGGGGAATTCGAATTGAGTTGGTTGTGGCATGAATGCAAGGCTTTTCTCCAGTCAGAATCAGCGTATCTGAGGCGAGCTGCTGAAATTCCCCGAATCCTAGACCAAACCCTCAACCCCAAGCCCATCCCCAAAACCGTTGAGCTTTCAACTCCAAACTCGTAAACCCTTATCCTGCAGATCATGTTTGAACCCGTCCCAGCCATCACTTCCCTGAAAGTATGTGTATATTATGTATGTATGCATGTATGTATGTATGTACGTATGTGCGTAAAGTATGTATGTATGGTTGCATGAACGAATATTTGTACGCATATGTATGCATATGTTTTGGCTTTGTATTCAGGCACGCTATATATATATATATAACACTCTTTGCTGTTTTTGCACTTCTGTACATGTACTACATGTACTCCTATTCAAGCAATTTAGTTCCCCGTCTACCTGTTGGCCGCTCTCTCTTTCTGTCTTTGTCTCAAAATTCGATCTTGTTTGCAAAGTCTTGACTTGACGCCAAACCGTACATCGCCCTCCCTCCCTGTAAGGCTACTGACTCTAAACCTAAAGGCCCCAAGCCCTAAACCCCACATTCCCTTTTAGACCTAAACCCTAAACCCCCATAAATCCTAAACCCTAAACCCTATAAATCCTAGACCCTGAACCCCAGAAAACCTAAACCCTAAACCCTATACGTCCTAAACCCGAAACCCTATAAATCCTGAACCGTAAGCCCTATTAATCCTAAACCCTAAACCCTATAAATCCTAAACCCTAAAACCCCATAAATCCTAAACCCTGAACCGTATATACGGTGCAGCGCTGTTGGGGGTACCCTATATCCTTCTGTATCCTGAACCCTAAACCCTAGAAATCCTAAACCCTCAACCCTAACCCCCTGTTGGGTCGAATCCCAAAGCCCTCAAAGCGGACAGGCCATTGCAAAGGCCCGAGAGGTCCGCCTCCGTGGGTTCGTTTGGTTTTGATCGTTGTTTTGCAGCGTTGTGGGTATCCTGGGGCTTAGGGTTTAAGGGTTTAGGGTTTAGGGTTTGAGGGTTTATGCTTTCGACCGGCATTTTGTAGCGTCATGTAGGGTTTAGGGTTTAAGGGTTTAGGGGTGCAGGGTTTAGGGTTTACGGGTTTAGGGTTTAAGGGTTTATATAGAAATTGCAAAGGGTTCAGGTCCGCAGTTTTGATGGGGCTTTGGGCGAATTTTGACGGGGTTTAGGGTTTACAGGTTTAGGGTTTAAGGGTTTAGGGTTTAGGGATGCCCACAATTAGGATTCTTTTTAATGGGGCTTCTAACTCTACTTGCGAGACAGGGGGCTTGTTGGGAGTCTGGGATGCAGGTTCAAGGTTTAGAGTCTCAGGCAGGGTTTAGGGCTTCTGGGCGTAGGATCCATGAGTGAGGCTTTAGGGTTGAGGATTCGGGAGTTAGTGTCTAGGATCCGATTTCAAGGGTGCTGCTGTGTAGGGTTTAGAGTTTAGGGTTTGCGGTTTAGGCTTCAAACGCAGGGATTCAGGATAGCTGCATTACGAAGAGGATGTGTAGCATGTGGTGCTGGATAAGGCTGGCTTAAGAAGGTTCACCAAAGCATGCACAGACCTTTATTATTCGAAGCCTCAGACCGTATAATTAGACGTTAATAAACAAATCTTATTTAGCCTGTGCTCGTTAATGAGCTCCGCTTGCACAATGCCAGCAAGCCTCAGCATAACTTGCAAGCCTTGGTCTCTCCAGATTTGAACCCAGATGCAACGAATCCCCAACGGCTGGCACGGATGACACCCTAAACCCTTAAGTCGTAAGCCCTTAAACCCCATCCTCGAAACCCCCAAGCATGGATCTAAGCCTTAAGCCCTCAACCTTACAGGTGAAACCCCCAGCCTTGGGGCAGGGTACCGTTCCAAGCCCTTGCTATCAAAACTCTTAACCCTATGAGTGAAGTCTTTACCGTGAGGCCTGCAGGCTAAAGCCGCAAGAGCGTCAGTTATGGGCCATTACAGGCCTCAAGCCCTTATAGACCCTAAACGATTAAGTTTGGGGTTTAGGTTTTAGGGTTTAGGGTTTAGTTTTAGGGCTTAGGGTTTTGAGGTCAACCTTCACCCCGGAACCTAACCGCTAAAACCCCGATAATATCTCATCAACCCAACCCTGAGGCCCTACCTGTAGCACCAAACCCTAGAGAATGGTGGCTTATGACCCGGGAAATCACAGGGATGATAAGGAACCCGGGACCCTTGTGGGTTGCNNTGCACTTTTGCCGAATGGGCGTGTTGGGGTCGATGGGGCCATTATGGGGGCAAACTGGGCCCCGTTGGGCCGCAACACGCCTATTCGGCAAGTTGCAACCCACAGGGGTCCCCTCCCCTTCAACCGGTGGATTTTGGGATCCCCAGTTAAACCCAGAAACCGAAAGCTTCAGCCTCAAACCCGAACCCCATGTAATATGATAAGATCCCTTACAGGAGGCCCTTAAGAAACTCGTACAGAAACCGAACAGGCCGTGTGGAGCCCTGTCGAGCACGTACAAGCTCCTACCTAATACCCTCAACCTACAGGAACCCTCAAACAAAAACTCTTATGGAACCCGTATAGAACCTTTATAGACCCCTACCACTCAGCCCAAAAACCGTCTTGGAGTCCACCAGAAACCCCTAAAGCTTTGCTTACATCCGAAACCCTCAACCCTCAACCCTACATCCGAAACCCACGACCCTCAACCCTAAACCCTACATCCGAAACCCTCCACCCTAACCCTAAACCCTAAAACCCTAAAAACCCTAAAACCCCTAAACCGAGGAGCCAGATCTCGTGGCCGTCCGGCGCATGGAAGCGCTCTTGGCCTGGCAGGCCAACGGTCTCTCAAGGGCTCAAAAAAGGGATCTATGTGGGTTTAGGGGTTTTGGGTGTTTAGGGTTTAGGGGTTTAGGGTTGTTCATAAGGGATCTATGTGGTTTAGGGGTTTTGGGTTTAGGGTTTAGGGTTTACTACCCTATTCTTATTATTTAGGCCCCTATTGATAAGGGATCCGTGTGGTTTAGGGGTTTTGGGTTTATAGGGTTGATAAGGGATCTATGTGTGGGTTTAAGGGATTTTTGGGTTTATAGGATTGATAAACCCTAAACCCTAAACCCTAAACCCTAAACCCTAGGGTTTCGGGGTTCTCTAGAGGGGCCTGAAGGTTCCTTATTATAATTATAGTATAGAAAACCCTATTCTACTCATTAAGGCCCCTATTGATAAGGGATCCGTGTGGGTTTAGGTTTTTTTGGGCTTATAGGGTTTATAGAGTTGATAAGGGATCTGTGTGGGTTTGGGGTTTATTGGGTTTATAGGGTTTCGGGTTTTGGGTTTTTAAGGGGGTTTATGGTTTAGGGTTCTGTGGGCGAAGCTATAGTATGCTTGGAGGTTCATGGGTAGTTATAAGTGGTGTTAAGTAGGGTAATTACAATTGTAACCCATATTAGGGGGCTTATAAGCCTACTTATAACTATCCATGAACCTCCAAGTAAGTGTTCTGCGAGGAGATCTATAATGCTGTAAGGGGTTCTTGAGGGGTCTGTAAAGGATTGCTGTAAGGCTTCTATACCAAAGGCTCTATAGATTTTCCAAGGGTGGAGTCTAGGACATTTTCAGGTGGGTAGTTACCGTCATAGGAGCCTTATAGAAGGTCTATGCCTAGCCCTATATGGGGAGCTGTAGTTTCCTTTAATGGAGGGGGCCTTCATGATTAGACTGGGGGTTCAGCCCCCATGATCTTCTATAAGGCTTACTTAAGGTGCCTTGGGTGGTCAGGTTAGGCATTTGGGTTTAGGGTTTAGGGTTTAGGGCTTAGGGTTTAGGGTTTAGAGTATGCCAGATGTTGGGTTGCGCTGTCTGACCATAAACTCCATAAGCCCTCAACCCTAAACCCTCAACCCTAAACCCTAAACCCTAAACCCTAAACCCTAAATCCTGTAAACCCAAACCCCTGACTCTGGGCTTTCTCTGGGTTTCGATAGATGGGGGTTTCCGAAAATAAGGGACCCTAACATAGTACCCCAAATAGTAGGATCCTTATTATAAGGACCCCAAACCAAGGTACCCCTTAAATTTCGGAAACTCCCAGATCGTTCTGGGTCTCAGTTTCAGCATGTCGGGTCTTTGGTTCAGGGTTCGGGGTATAAGGGAAGCATGTAATTTATGTGAGGGTTTAGGGCTTATAGGGTTTAGGGTTTATAGGGCCTAAGGCTTCTAGGGTGTAGGGTTTGGGGTTTATAGGGCTTATAGGGTTTGTAGGGTTTAAGGTTTAGGGTACTATAAGGAGTTAGTCTGAACCCTCAACCAAGCAGTCTCAGCTTGCAGACATCTTGTAGCCCTGTCGCAGTGGCAGCCGTTCTATTTCGCTTGTGCTTACCCCACACACTACCCTTGTAGACACTTTATGCCTTTTTTAGACCCTTATACACCCCTCAACCCTTATAGTACCCTTATAGTACCCTTATAGATCCTTGATTCGATTTTGTATTCCCTCTATACAGCCCCCTATGGGTCCCTTCTAGACACCTGTTGCAGACTCCTCGTAGAACCCTATAAACCCTAAACCTTAAACCCCTAAACCCCAAACCCCTAAACCCCTAAACCCCAAGCCCCAAACCCCAAAGCCTAAACCCCAAACCACAAACCCCTAAACCGTAAACCCCAAACCCTAAACCCTAAACCCCAAACCCCAAAACCCTAAACCCCCTAAGCCCTCAACGGCAGGTGAACCTGGGCCCGAAGTCTGGGCCCTTAACCCTGGGACCCTAGTATACCTACTATATACCCTATATATACCCTTCAGGGACCCTAGAATCCCCTAAGGGCCCATGTTAGGGGCCCATGGGTTCAACCTTGGAAACGGCAGGTGAACTTGGGCTTAGTAAGTAAGGTTATAAGTCCCATAATTGGGGTTATAAGTATAGTTACCTTAATTATAACCCTACTAAGTCCCATGATCCTTTAAGCAGGTGAACCTGGGCCCGAAGTCTGCTGCGGCGGAGCTCGGGGTTTTGCCACTCCTAGAGCCGATGCTCCACGAGCCGCGCCGGCGGAGTTTTGCGGGACTCCATGTCTAAATTCGGGTCCCTTTAAAGGGATTCCTTTAAGGGATGTATAAGGGTTCTATAAGGGTACTATAAGTGTTCGATATGGGTAGTTCTGAAAATGAGGGTCCCGTTGTAGGATCCTTTATGTAAGGGTGCCGTACTATGTTGGGGACTCAGAAAGGGGCCCCTTCTTTCAGAGAACTACCCATATCCTTCTAGTGTCACGGAGTCTTAAGGGGGCTTTTAGGGTTTAGGGATGTTTTGGGCTGATAGGGGGTTACTGTAAGGGCTGCTGTGAAGGTTGTAGAATGGGAAATAAGATTGGGGCCCTTCCAGCACCCAAAACCCAAAACCCTGGGCCCTAAACCTTAAACCCTAAGCCCTAAAACCCTGAACCCTACACCCTACTTGTTCTTGTTCAGGGCCCAAGCTGACTCGGCAGTGCCAGGAGATAGGAACCGTTGACCACAGAGTTTACGGGTTCAGGGTATAGGGCTCAGGGTTCAGGTTTAGACGATAATGGCGAGGAATCCCAATGTCGGACGACGGCGGCGGCAGCGGCTGTGATGGAGGTGGTGGAGGTGATGGTGGGGACAACTATAATTCATTTCATGGTGATGGGCAAGGCGACTGTGATGGAGCTGGTGGCGGTGACGAACATGCCAGCAGGATCAGCCAGGAAAATGAACATATTCCTGGCCAAAGTGGTATGCACATAAACAGCTGAACAGCACCATTCGCACGACAGTCGCACTATAGCAGCTTGCTGCTTGCACCAACACCTACTGACAGACAAGCGACAGGCAAGCAGCAGACATGAGAAGCCAAGTATACTGAGGACATGTTGGGGAACGGCTCTGTTCCTTAACCCCACATTCTGAAAATGAAGCCCTTAACCCTGCAAGCCTGAAACTTGCGGGACGCCCTCAGCATCCCCCCCCAAAAAAAAACACAAACCACCACAATTACAAACCCTAAGTAATCCTCCGCGAATTCGGCTGTTGGCCAGGTTGACCGAATGCCTTCAAGGCGGTGATGTCTTCGGCTGCGTGAGGAATTTACAATATAGTAAGCACATAATGCCAGCGTGGTGATGATAGTGGTGACGGCGTTGGTGTGGTTGGTTCAGATGGTGCTGCTGCTGCCGCTGCGCCGCTGCTCTGCTGCTGGTGGTGATGATGGTGATGGTGATGATGGTGGTGATGCTGATGATGAAGAAGAGGATGTTGTTGAAGATGGTGTTGATGATGAGGATGGTGATGACGATGCGGGTGCTGATGATAAAGGGATGACGATGATGATGATGGTAGTGATGATGATGACGCTGCTGGTGATGATGATGATGATGATGAACATGAGAAGAAATAATATGAGGATGATGATGATGCTGATGGTGGTGATGGTGATGATCATGTTGTTAGCTGTCTTGTTTACGATCACGTTGGTGATGCCAATGAGGTTAATACTGCTGATGATGACGATCATGGTGCTGGTGTCAGTACTGACAGTGGAGTTCACCACCACCACCACCACCACCGCCGCCGCCGCCGCCGCCGCCGCCGCCGCCACAGCCACCGCCACCGCCACCGCCACCACCGCCCTCCTCATCATCGTTACTATTATTACAATCGTCATGACGGTCATTGTCATCACCTACATCAACACCATCATCATCATCATCATCATCATCATCGTGATCAGGATCATGATGGTCATGATGGCCATCATCATTATCACCACTAACAACATCATCATCGCCATCACCATCATCACAACCCATGTCACCTGCATTTCCAGGCAACATCTGTATGATCATCGCCGTCATCACCACGCCATCATCCTGATCATCAGTATCATCAACGCCCTCATCATTATAGTTGCCCTCTAGCTAACATCCTTCCTGCACGTGGCCACCGTCATCGCATCAGCATCACCATCATCGTCATCATCATCATCGTCATCGTCATCAGCATCGTCATCGTCATCAGCATCGTCATCGTCATCATCATCATCATCATCATCATCATCATCATCATCATATGCTTCGTCATCTCCATCATCACCGTCATCACCGTCATCAGCATCGACAACATCACCATCATCATCACCTCCATTGTCACCATCTTCATCGTCACCGACTTCACCATCTTCGTATTCCTTCCAGAGATTCTCAATGCCTAGCCTAGAAATAAATGCCTGATTTGAATCATGATTTGTAGCCTGGGTTCTTGCATGCCTAGTTCCACCAAGCTTTCGATCCCATAGCTTCCGCTTCGGCTCTTGTGCTGAAAGTGCGACCTATACTATAGATGCCCCCCCGACTACATGCCCCCGAGCGTCCAGAAGCACCCATGAAATCTCGAGAGACCAGTTCTTAAACAGGCCTTAAGGCGGCGACCTAACCCACGAACGTGTCTGCACGGTTTAGGGTTTAGGGTTTAGGGTTTAGGGTTAATCTAGAGCTTCTTCAAGCCTCGAGCCTGAGCACGCTTCACCCTCTGAGCGGCATCAGCTTGATTTCCCAGCCTCAAAGAAAAGGGTTCACGAAAAGGGTTTACAGTTTTACCCGAAACAGAAGAACCTTTTGAACATTGAAGTGCGAAACCCCATGCTAGTGTACCATTCAATTTAGCTTGCCCAAACTTTTTGCTGCACCGGGGTCACAGAGTCGCAGCATGTAGGCACGCGGCAGCTCCAACAGGGGCTGGAGTCGGCTGTGACAGGCCAGGTAAGGTTTCAGGATTAAGGCTAAACCCTAAACCCTAAACCCTGAACCCTGAACCCTGAACCCTAAACCCAAAACCCAAAACCCCAAAACCTAAACCCTAAACCCCAAATCCTGACAGGATTAAGGCTTCAGATATCGTTGGTCTTGGACATGGGCACAATGTTTAAGGCCATGGGTAGTCTGCAGGTTGCAGGGTCCAGGATTTAGATGGCTTGTTCATTATGGCGTTGCTGGCTCAACTTTCGTAGGAACACAGTGCAGAGATGGCAGGTGGCAGTTTGAGTTTTGAAGACAAGCTGTCAGCAACATCAACAAAGAGAACCTCACTACAGTCAGCATCACCAACACCTGCTTGATTGCAGCACCGGGGCATCAAATGTGGTTGCAGCAGCAACAGAATCGCAACCCCATCAAAACTAATTGTCAGGCTTCAGCTATGCAATGCCGGTGCTGGGTTTAGGAGTTGGGATCCAGTGTTTAGGTGCGCTGTCGAGGATTTTCGGACCTCTCAATGCAAGAACTTTGAACCCAAATGGTCTCTTTGGTCATCTTGCAAAAGATCGAGGTTTTTTGAGGGCTGCAGGCATACACCGCTAAGCCATAGGAGCCCTGAGCCCGAGCCTGATCTAAGGAAAGAGACTTCGGTGCATCCATTGGGCCTGTGAGCCTACTGTGTGAGCCCTGTGATATGCTAAAAGCCGTAATCCCTCAACCGCTGGCTGGCTCCTGTCGCACAGGCGGGACAATGCTCTCCGCGCCCGAGGCAGCAGCCAATGCTTTGTGGTCTGAGAATGATTATATATATATATATAGATATAGATATTTAAAGTTACATACATATTTACATGTTTATGTACTTTATATATATATATATATATTATGAGTGTATGTACATATGCATGTATGTATGTCTGTATGTATGTACGTATGTATGTGTGTATATGTACATCTGTATGTATGCATGCATGCATGTAGATGCATGCATGCATGTGTACATGCATGTACGTATGTTAGTATGTACGTATGTATGTATGTATGTATGTATGTATGTATGTAGGCATGTATGTATGTATGTATGCATGGTTGAGATATGTATGTATTTCTGTTTACATGTACATACACATATACATATTTCTTGTCTTATGTGTTAATACATACACATATTATATGCTCGATGATGTATCTGGGGCACAGGCTTGTGCTCGAGGCTTCTGGTTCGAAGCCTGAAACCTACACATGCTAAATCCCGGACCCGACTGTGAGGCTTCTTGGGGTTTAGGGTTTAGGGTTATCTAAGCTCCAAGTTTGCATCAAGTTACAAAGACTGCCGCTAGACAGGCCAGACCCTGGGAAAGGTTGCCACTAACGCGTTAGCTCCGGACTCCGATCCTCCAGCAGTTGCTTGTGTGTCTCGGGCTCAAGAGCTGTAGCTCTCCGCCCATGAAATTACAATGAAGCCAGACAGTTTGGAAAATAGACTTAGGATGTCTAGTGCTGGGCTACCCTATACTCTACCTCACTGTGACACTGATGCTCCAACTTTTCGGCTTCTGCATCTGCAGGTGCTTTGGCGAGCGATTGTCAACGGGGATGTGGCATCTGTCGGGCAGCCAGTTACTGTTCCAAAACACCATACACGAAAGATCACGAAAGCACCTACAGACCATCATCAGGTTTCCTCCTTCGCCCCCGATGATGATGGTCGTCATCATCATCATCATCATCCTCTTCATCACCATCATCACCATCATCATCATCATGACATTAAAATGATCCCCCACATCATCGAGTCCAGAAGCCCTGACAAGGTCGAGGCCATCATTCGACAGGGAGGCCTGGTTTCGGGTCGCACGCAGGAGCCGCTTCTTGCTTCTTGCATTTGGCAGGGTTTAGGATTCAGGCTTTTGTGGTTTAGGGCTGAGGGTTACAGGCTCTAGGGTTTTGACTTTTGAAGTGCGGGGTTCTTCAAGTAAGACGTTCCCCACTCCTGTCTATAGAATTGGAGCAGCAAGAAGAAGCAATATTGCTGCTTCGGAACTCCGATAGCATGTGCTATGCCTCAAACCTACACGCTGAACCGAGGCATAATATAGGGGCCTTCATAAATTAGAATAGGGTTTGGGGTATTATAACTAATACCAAGGAACCCGCCAAAATAGTATAGGTAATTATTGAGGCCCCTACATTAGGACATCCGAGTGACTGGATTTGCAGCCTGTCTTGAGACTGTGAGCTTCGAGGTCCGTTCGGTATTCAGGTTCGCTAAGGGTTTCTCAAAGCTTTTATTTCAGGGTTTCTACAATGGTTACTACAAGGGTTTCTACAAGGGTTACTGCGAGGGTTACTGTAAGGGTTATTCACACGTCAGGGTGTCTGGTCCCGACATGGTGAGAGCTAACTGAGTTGATTCATCTCTGCCCAGTGTGGGTACCACGTCCACTGCGAAAGCTCGTTCCGAGAAGACCACTTGGGCAGTTCTCTAAATTAGGGTCCCTTTTCGGGTCCCCAATATAGTACGGCACCCTTATAAAAAGGACCCCAAAAGGGACCCTAATTTAGAAAACTACCCATTTATCGACCAGCTGCTTTGTGTTATCTCTCATCACTTGAAAGCTTCTGGCCCCGCGAGTCTGGAAATCCAAGCTTTGATTGGCAAACGAGGACCCTAGCGGACATTCCGTGCTGTGGAATGCAGTAGCCTTTCAGCGGCCTGAGGCAGGGCAGCCGTGAAGAGTTCAGGGTCACATGCAACGGAGAGGCAGATTCATAGAGGTCGCGCGGGAGAGAGAGACAGGCAAAGAGTAAGACAGTAAGAGACGGACAGGCTGGGCTTCAGCAAACCCCGAACTCCTTAAGCCCCAAGCCGTTTCGGGAGGTGGCCATCCTTCTCTTGCGCTTCTTTCCCCCCGACATGCCGGCTGCACAGTTGTCAGCGCTTCACTTTTCAGAATAATAATGTGTTTCAGAAGCCCTCCTTCTGAACGCCCAGCTGAAAACGCAGGGGCCGACGAAGTTGCAGGCTTTCGGACTGTAGGGTGTAATGTAGGGGCCAGTAGTAGTTACCCATACTATTTTGGGGGTTCCTTATTATGCTTATAGTATAATGGGCCCCAAAACAAAACCCTATTCAGGCCCCTATATTAGGAGGTTTAGGGTTTGAGGGTGTAGGGTCTCCAGAGGACACCTTTGGTCTGTCTGTGCGCTTTTCTAGCGGTTTAGGGTTTAGGGTTTAGGGTTTAGGGTAAGAGCTTGAGGCTTTGCAGGGAGGTCCTGGTGCTACTTGGAGATTAGGGCTCCTTGTGTGGTTGAGGGCTCGGCCGTACGGTAGGTTCGGTAGTGCTGCGGGAGTACAAGGCGGGGCTTTTGATATTTACTTCCCTAAACCCTAAACCCTAAACCCTAAACCCTAAACCCTATTACTTGTTTGGTGGTGCTACCTCTGGGTTCGGGTCGGGTTGCCAACTCTGCATTTGTTCGCCCGAAAGGCTTTAGGCGTCGGGAGCCTCTAGGTAGAGCAGGAAAGACCCTAGTAGCCGTGCCTGAACCCTTATATGAGCTCTGTTCAAAGCTACAGAAACCTTTACAAGGAATCCGATATAATCCTAACCCGAACGCCGGAGTAAGCTTAAAGATACCAATCTTTGAGTAGTGGACGGAACGGCTGAACGTCCCAAACCCACCCTGGGCCCTAAACCCTACACCCCTAAACCCTAAGCCCTACTTGGAGGTTCATGGGTAGTTCTGAGTAGGGCTATAAGTCCCCTAATATGGGTTATAATTCTAGCTGCCCTACTTATAACCCCACTTATAACTACCCATGAACCTCCAAGTAAACCCTAGCCTAAACACCCTAAACCCTAAACCCTAAGCCCTAAACCCCTAAACCCTAAACCCTAAAGCCTGTTTGGACCCAAAAGGTTGCATGGTGTGGCACTGGGCGAGCTCCACCAGAGGAATGGTGGCTCTTGCCATGGTAATATAGGGGCCTTACTAAT